CAACGTTTAGGCTATCAATCATTAAAAGCATAATATTACAAAAAACGTAATGAGTTGGGAAAAGAGGAGCCTAACTCCATAAATTAATTCACACCTCTAAGCAAAATCTGGGTAATTGCACTAAATATCTATACAAATAATATACTTTTTCATGAAGATGTAAATGCAGGACATTTTCAAGAGGTAAAATAGAAGCACTAACCTTGAACTCAAGATCACCACATCAGCAATTTTGTTTTGTTGTTGTTTTGTTTTGGTTTGGTTTTTGGCTAGATTTTTTTTTTTTTTTACCTGTTCCTTATTCAGGAAGGTTAAAATGTGCTAAAGACATCCAGTTCAACTCAGTCAGCTTGCTTTTATTGTGTGTGAAGATTATGTTTTCCTTTGTTTTAATGCCAAAGTCTACAGGATCTTTGTCAGATTAAAACAACACTAATACTGACATTCTATTCTTTATATAGTTTGGATGGCATCAGTCTAAGGGTTCATTGGTGTGCCTGTGCATACGTACAAACTAGCAGCCCTTGTGATACTGTGTGTGTGTACATGTATGTGTGTGTGTGTGTGTGTATGCATATTTGACTGGATGAAATCTCCAAACATACAAAACCATCTATTATCTAAATCTTTTACTGATCTGTCACTGACACAGTTAAAAAAAATCACAAATACTTGTTCAGTTGCTAGATATGATAGAAAGAAGAAAAAACGAAGACTTTATTTCAAAGCTTCGTACTTCTGTTCTCAGTTCTGTACATCATCCAATTTGGTCAACATGTCAGATCTGTTGTAACATTTTTTTTTTCCCAGATGCCTGCTTTAGAATATAAATTCTGATCATTTTAGGAAATATGCTTACATAGTTACATTATTGTACATAGCTACAATAATGTTTGTTATCTTTCAAGAAAACTAAATAAATTGAATTGTAAAAAGAAGTTGTTAGGGGTTTTGAACATGCTAATAGTGCTTTTTTCATGGGTTACCTTTGCCATGAGTGTTTCTAATGGTTAGTTTTGGATTTTAAGTAAGGACACAGTATATAACATTTCATTAACGATAAGGCTTAAGACTTCAAAGAGAGTTTTAACCTTAGCTCTCTTTGAATGTGCAACAACAGTTTTATGAAAAAGAAACATGGTTTAGATTTTTGTTTGCATTTAGTGAATCTATTAATTCTAATTGTAGGCCCTGCAAGTTTAACTTTTTTCTGTTATGATTCATAAGTTAAAACTTCTTTTGAAAACTTGCAATGCTGCTGCACTCACTTCTACTGGCAATACAACTGGGACATCCTGACATTTCCAGTAATCCTCAGAGTTCAAAAGACAAGTCGTGCTGCAGGATGAGCAAACAAGCATCTCCATAACTCTCTTTAGACTCCAGCTGTAAAGGTCAGGCACAGAGGGGTGGGTTGTTATTTGGGATTCAGTGCCTTATCCACAATAAAACCACCAAGGGGATTTACTAAATGAGCCTTTTGAGAGAGGTTGTTGTGAATGCTATTAAAGAATCAGCAAAGGAAACATTAAGGTGATTATTTATTTGAAATCCCAATTAGGAACAAAGTTCAACATGTTTGATAGCAATCATATGCATAAGGTTAACAAGATTTGGAAGATTGTTTTCAAACAAATCCCCTCCACACAGAGTTTTTAATCAAATCCACCAGGACAGCAGCTTTGTTGCTTACTTTGCAAACTACTTTTCACTTTGTTTAGTTTATTATGAAGTTAAGTTGTCCTGTAACTGGTGGGCTGCCAATTCAAACCCTCTGTCTCACTCACTTTTCCACTGGGTGCCATTCGGTTGTCTATAGTCAGTGTGTCTCTACACTCGGTTGAGAAGTTCTGCAAATGTACCAAATTTCAAACTTCTATGATAAAGTTAGACATTGTGACTTTCAAATGTAAGAACTCTTTTGAATTCTTAAATGTATTGCACAACTGTCACTTATGCAAAAATGTTTAGGCCTCAAAAAAAAAAAAAGAAACAATTTCAGTGAAGGGTAATAAACATTCAAATTGCGATTGACCTTTGCACAGCTTCCCTCCCCACAGGTTTTATTTAAATCTAAAAAACAAAAAACCTGACAGTATTCAGGCTAACGCTACAGTTTCTATTGATGTTCTGATCAGCATTTTTACTTTGATACATATGGGCGCCACAAGACCCATTTCTCTAATTGGCTGTGACACCATGAATAACCAGAAGACGATGAAGCGTCTAAAAGTGAAGTTTTTGTTAAATGTGCCTCTGAGGTGTAGTAGTGGAGAAGGATTTTATTCCAAACAAGCCCATTTTCCAAACCATTGTAGCACTTGGCTAAGTGTTTTGCTAAAAGTGTCTAAATTGGTGCATAAAATGGTTCATAATTGTTCAATTGTAAAGTTCCAGTATTTTTGTCGGATGTATCTGTAGTTCTGCAGTCACACCAGTAGGTGGCAGTAGTATCATACAGAATCGTCAACCAGTTGTGTGTAGGACAAGGGACACACCTAAAAGTTGCAGGACTGTGGCCCACAAAGACTGTACAGACCATTGCTATGAAATATAATTTAATCACTTTAAATAACACCTCATCTTACTTTCTAACACCTACTTCTTACTTTATGCATCTAAATTAATTTATTATGCAACTATTTTTCCTCAGGATTAGTAACCAATATGTCTCAAAAATATTTACTTCTGTTAGAAATCACATGGTGGATGTATAATACCCTGACACTCTGCATACGCTAGACAGACTCCACAGATTATTTTAAAAAAAACAACTAGAGACAATTTTATTCAGACAGACCTTTGATTACTGTTGTTTTTACTTTTTGTTTTGACTTTGTGAAGCACTCTGTGATATGTCTGTGAAAGGTTTTATAAAAATAAGATATTACTTTACGACTTGTTTTATATACATTATAGAATTGTTTGAAATACATTTATTTGATAAAGAAAAGTTTATTAAGAAATTTAAGTTCAACACAGGTTATATTATACACAAGACTGAATAACTAAATTAGAAGTATAGGTTTCACTGAGAGTTTTACACATTGTACACAGTAAATACGTTTTTATGTGCTTCCAAAAAGTTTGAACCCTTATGTCATAAATAACTGAACTAATGAATCTTGGTAGTATTTGGAAAATTATATAACAAACAATTCATCAGAGCAATTTCAACACAGCCTGTATCGCCAGGGGTGTTGCGTATGTGTCAGGAGGCCTGCTTGTGCGTCTCAACAATAGCATTTAGCTACCTTGACATTAACTGAGGTTTGATATATCCCTTCCTGAGTTTGGTAATTTAAACATTTCCCAATTAAACCTCAGGATAACTTTGTTAGATTATTTTCTCCTGTGAAGATTTATTTGTTTTCCCTCACTTTTTCAATAAAATGATTGATTCACATAGATAGGGAGAGATTAAGAAATTGTGAGATTAATGGCCAATTCCTTCTCTAACATCATTATTTGTCAGGTTATACTGAATAGTTAATTTTCATTTTGGTCACAACTTTTGGAGTACAAAGTTCCAGGCCCATAGATATGTGCTGTAATGTTCAAGTACAAGCATTATCAGAGTCTGGCCCTCATTACAGGCAGTTTGTTGGCCTTGTTTCCAGTGAAAATTGGACTCACCGCAAGTTCCCCATTGTCACTGAATATTTTCAGAAACTGAATCTAAAGGTGCAACCAAGGTGATAAGGGGATTCATTTTTGTAAATATAACCATCTTTGATTGTAACAAAACTGTGTTTGAAAAAAGTCTTAGATACGGCTTAGAGTTTACATTTAGTGGATTTAGGTCATGTATTTTGTTATGATTCATAAATGCAAACTTCTCTTTCAAACTTGCAAAGTTATTGCACTTACTTCCTTTTTGCAATACAGTAGGGATATCCTAACATTTCGAGTAATCCTCAGAGTTCAAAAGTCAAGTGATGCTCCAGGACAAGCAAACAACCATGTTGGTAATCCTCTTTGGACTCCAGCTGTAAATGTCACACACAGAGGGGTGGGTTGTTATTTGGGATTCAATGCATTATCCACCATACAACCACAAGGGGCTCTATTAAATAAGTCTTCTGAGAGAGGTTGTTGTGAATGTTATTAAAGAATCAGTAAGAAAACATTAGACTGATTAGTTGAAATGTCTGTTCCAATTACATAAAACAAAGTGCAGATGATTAAGGTTAATGATGTTAGAAAGATTCTTTTCAAACTAATTCACTGCACACAAGGCCTTTAATCAAATCCATTAGGAGAGCAACTTTATTGCTCACTTGGATAACTGCTTTTCACTTAGTTTAGTTTACTTTTATGAAGTAATCTTTTTTTCTTACTTGTTTATGAAAATATTTTTGATATTCTGTTGGTGCTTTTCCCCCTAAATTTCAAATAAACTCACTGAAAGGAAATTTCTCTATATTGACCAAGAGCATTATGACCTAATAACTTTTCAAATTAAAGATATATATTAGGTAACAACTAGTGTTTTTTTATACTTCTGTTGTGTTTTAAAAAACTTCACACATTTTCTTGAAGTTTCTGGGTGAAATTTAATGGGCAATTTTGATTTTGTTTCTTCCTCCAAACTTCCAGTTTGAACAAAATATACAGATTAGGAGGCCCAACCATTTGGTTTTCTTTACGTCTACTGCCTTGTGACCTAAGGAGATGAACTTTTCTCTTTTTCTTTACTATTGACAATATTTCCTGTTTCTTGTTGTTCCCTTTCCTTATGCTACAAAGATTTCTGGAAAAAACAACAAAAAGAAACTGAAGTTGCTACAAAGATGATTTTTTTGTTGTTATTGTCTTTGGGACTTACTGAGGTCACTTAAAAACATTTGACTAAAATTCAATTTAATTACTGAATAATAAATCCATTTTAGCCAGAATTGTTAACAGCCTACAATTCTCTAAAGTGTGGCCAAAAAACATCTGCATATCTAAAAATAGTAAAAAGTAAGGACCAAAAAAAGAAAATGTAAAACACTCAGCAGCAAAATGTTTAGTCCTTTATTGCCCTCTTTGGTTTGATACAAAGTTTCATTACAAAAATACAAAAGTAGTTATCAGAAAATATACAAAATTATACAGATATTCCAAAATTAAGGGCTATAAATTTATGTTGGTATTATTGGTACAAACCAAAATAATTAAACACCTAAACTAACAAGAAATTTCTATCGATTTAGGATGAAATTTCTAAAATCAAATAATGTAGCTTCTCAAATATATATATATTATATTTCAGAATATTTGATAAATGCTTAAAATTATAAATATTCTTAAAAAATAAAAGCAGTAAGTCCTTCAGCATTGGCAGATTTCTCTATTGAATTAACACCACAGCTTCAGTAAACATTAAGACTCAAAATTTCTTAAATTCCCTTTTATATTAAAACCATTTCTACTTTTTGATGATTTGGTTTGAGAATTTGCTCTGGAGGCAAAACATAAAAAATGTTATGTGACATAAACCAGAGAGTTGATAGAAGTGGCATCAAGAACTCGTGTCCTGCTTTGGTGTCTTTGTGTTTCTGCTGCTGGTTAAAAAAATTAAATTAAAAACTGCAACCTGCCATCAATACATATTTTGTCAAACTGTAAAAAGGGTTCGGTATAAATAGTGCACTGAATGACTGTGACTATAAAGAAACTTGATAATTTAACTGTGAGCTGACGTCTTGTACCTAAAATACATTCATTACATCTAGTTTACAAAAAACAGACACCCTGCTTAGATTGGCGTGCTTGTTAGAAATAAACCAGTAACAAAATGCTGTTTAATAAACAAAGGTATTGATTATGTTCTGTGTAAAAGAACACTGTAAAACAGGGGCAAGTTTTGAGGTTGTATTTTTTTTTTTTTTTTTTAATACAACATTTTTTACAGCTACATTGTACATTGGTGTTTGGGAATTTTATTCATCTATACCACTTACAGCTACAACAGAAATATTTTTTTCCCCAAACCATAAACTGTAACATATTTCTAACAGAGTTCCTAAGATCTGTGAAGGTGTTGTAAAATCATCAGTTTAATGTGAGAGGTGTCATGCTGTAGATCCCAGTTGGTTAAAGTTTTCCAGGATGAGTCTTTTTCTTCTTTTTCCCTCCGGTTTTCCTGCTGTCCTGTGTGGTCACTCTGTTTGACCACATCACTTCCTGGACAGGAGCTGGTTCTCCAGTTGCTCCAAACGGGCAGCCATAGAAGCTAGTGGATATTTTATTAAGGAGCAACAAATAAAGGAATGCTGCAGCTGCTGCTGTGTTATGGTGATTTGCAAAAGCCTTCATACTCCTTACACTTTTTCACAAATGTTGCTTATTTTTCCATTTGACTGAACGTTTCAAATCATAAATATATATAAAGAGTAACACTTGCATGCTAAAGATCTGTTGAATTATTTTGAAAGGATATGTTTTTGTGTGAACTGATCCAGGCTGTTCATGGTGGCCTGCTGGAACTCCACCAGGTTCTCACAGGCACATGGATCCTTTACTTCAACCTCCCCCTGACTCTCCGCTGCAGACAAAAAATATAAAAATAAAAATGTTGTTCTCACAAAGTTATTACATTCATTATTCATTTACATTTTTGAGATTTTGAAGTAAAGGTCAACAAGTCTGTCTGTTCAAATTTCAGACTTTATATCAACTTATATATGATTTATGGTGATTTTCTGTTGCCTTATATTTTAATGCAGTTTCCTGAGAAACTGCCATGTTATAAGTTTGCCAGTAGATGGCGACAAACAACAGGGCATCTTTTGTTATTGAGTCACAGTACTTCATCTGATGGGTGAATATTGATTAGTGCATAGTGAAATAAATAAAAGGTTGTTTTTTTTCCAATTCTTCAGTTGATAATATAAAAAGATTTATTGCCTAAATCTAATCAATGAAGAATGTTATGTAAAAAACACATAGAAAAAAAACAAGGGAAAATGATTGATTCTTGTTATTTATAATCTTTGCAATTTAAACTTCCTCCTCATGAGGATTTGTTTGTTTAGATCTTTTCCTTGGCCGTTTCTTTCTTTCTTTCTTTTTTTACCTGGGCACACATTAAGTTTGAGGTTGTCTGCGATGGTGTTGATGGCACTGAAATCTGTCGTGTAATAGAAATGTTTTTCCACAGGATCAGAGGCAATCTCACGCAGCTCATCTTCCACAGCTTTGCCCACACCAACAGCATACATGGTGATTCCTGCAAGCATACAGATAGACATTAGCTCAAAATGTATACTAAATGCTTTAAAATGTACAATGAATTTGAAAAATTAACATGAACTCATAACAGGCAGGAATTACATATTATAGAGTTTTTAAATGATTTTTTTCATCAGTAACTTTCAAAAACATAAACTGGGTGCACAAAACTTAATTCATTGAGAATTTTCCCCAGTCAAAATTATATGTACATATATGTGCAAATACATATGTATAGTAAATACACCCCGCCCCCCCTATTTGGTTAAATGTCACATGGCAAACAACATAACCATTAACAAGATTCTGGCAGAATTCAGGCTGGACATTTTAACCCACTTATTACATAAAATGGTGCATTTTATTTATAACAGTTGGCATGCTGACTGTTAAGAATAGCCTAAGCATTTTTTAACAGGGATGAGTCTGCCATTTCAGGAAAGGACCCTGCAGAGGATTAATGTTGGCCTGTCTGTGTGTCGTGCTGCGTGCCTGGAATCAATATCTTGTTGAAAGACCAAACTGTTTCAGAGTTTCAGTCATAGCTGTTGATTTAATACACAGATGTAGAATGTTAAGGTAGCACTTCTTCTGACGATGATGCTACCACTGAAGGCTTTCACAGATTCCCCTGCATTTAAAATATCATCTTCACTTTGAAAACACATCTCTTGTTGTGGTTGAATAGCTCCATCTTTGTTCATCTGATTATGAAACCTCTCTCCAGGAGGGATTTGACTTGTCCATGTAAATAGCTGCAGTAAAGCTTGAGAGTGTTCACTTTGGAGAAATTGTTTTTTCTTGGTTAGTGCTTTCTCTGTGGACACTGCTGTTCCAACAGGTTTTAGTTCATGGTTTAGTGGGTCCTATATGATCCCCGGTCATCCTAACCAATTTATTTAATTTGACAGTGGATAGTTTGGGTCATGTGGGTAAAACTTGGACACGGTTTGGTTTTCCAAAAGGGCAATGATCCCAAACAAACAATCTAGGTAGTTTTAGAGCCGATAAAACTGGCTAGCATGTTGCATGAAAACAAAGTTTTCAAACTTATTGTTTAAAGTACAAAAATGAGATTAATGACCATGATGAATGTCAACCTTTTATAGATAGAAAAAAAAACGAACTGGTACTGACCGGCTTCTTTAGCCTTTTTGGCGTATTCGCTGATGTCATCTTGGGATCGCCCGTCTGTGAAAACCAGTCCAATGCGGGGGATGTTGCGACTGGCTGGACGGGCGCCTTCTGCTTCTGAGAAGCTGTACTCCAGCATGTGTTTAAGTGCCAGACCTGTCATTGTTCCTTTTTCCATGTAGTCAACCTAGAAGAATAGATGTTGTAAAGCCATTAAACAATTCTGTTGTGATCATTTTGCCTCCGAGTGAAGCAGATTTTAGCACATAAGGATAATTTCACGTGTTTTATGCTACCTTCATGACTGCAGCTTTGATGTCTTCAGCAGTGTGGTACATGTTGAGTGGGAACTCTGTCCTGACCCGGCTGGAGTACTGAACCAGACCGACTCTGGTACCATGAGCAGACACGTCCAGAGAGTCGACAACCTGAAGGGTGTCAGGAAATAAGCAAGACATCAGCTGCTTCTTCCAGTTTTTATTTCTTTTGTTCACTCCTAAAATAAAATCCAACTCTACTGTAAGAATATTTTCTTGTACCGAGGGTGGAAAATACAAATACTAACCTAATATATTTATTACTAAGTTTTCTTTAAGTAAAATCAACATTTACATGATGCATTTGTCACAGTTTTGTGGTCTGTTGATCATGTTGTCAACACTGTAATACATCACAAATATGTCAGAAAAAACAACTACCTGATTGACAAACTTTTTGACGAGCTCAAAGTTTTGAGGGCGGACGCTCTTAGAGCCGTCGATCAGAAGCACCAGGTCGATGTTTGCAGACTTGCAAGCTGAAATAAATACAAACAACAGATGGGTTGTGTTTGCTCCATAAAGGAGAGGATGCTGATTCTGTTCTAATTGTCTATCTGTTAAAACATAAGATACAGATCCCTCCAAAAAGACAGTGGTAAGGAAATATTAATCCTGAAGACAAAAACACTACTACAATAGACAACATTTAGCACAGTATTAAAGTATTAAAGCAGTTTGAGCATAAAAACTAACTTAAAAGTACAGCATTTTTTAAATAATCATTATTTATAGTTATTTGAAACACCTTTCTTCATGTTAGAAAACATATTCCCCTTTAAAAAAAGATGACAGCTCCAACATTTAACTACCGTAGATTTTTTATTAATTTATTGAACGGTGTTTTTCAGATTAGAATCCATTTTGGTCTCGTAGTTTAAAAGTGGTCAGGTCCTGACCCTTGTTCTCCTTCCAGAGATAAAAACTTTTAAAGATAATCCTCTCAAGCATTGAGCTATTTTTTATTCAGACAGAGCTGAGCTGCTTTTCACATCAGTGCAGGTTCATCTTCAACATCTCATTTATCTTCATTTCACTTCCAAGAAATCCTAAATCTTCTATTCTTTATTTTCGCCAATAAATGTTGCTCCTATATAATGCCACCAATTCTTTTAAGGGACTTTTGTCGCTATTATCAATATCAATTCATCATAAAAATATATTTCAAAATCAAAACTTAATTTAGATGTCAGCAATGCCTTGGACTCAAGCCCAGCAGCTCCATCACTAAAACGTTATCCAATACAAGAATTGTTGTACTCTGTAGTTAAAAATGTATATTTCTGCATATATCAGTCCCTGTTTGTGTCATATTGATTGACATTGTGCATCACAACACAACAAATAATTCTGCTAATATTTAAAGAATTAAGATCAATGCAGTCACAAAAAAAAAATAACTTTTTTTTTTATCAACATGTAGCTTTAGTATTTCTATAAAGGATAGCAATGCTACAGCCCTGCAGCTAGGAGGAATGTATAGGTTAACTATAGTTGTACTGATGGCATTTGTTTTAATAAATAATAAATATATGTCATGGTTTTTCACATTTAAAATTAAATTTAAATAAATGTGGAATCTGTTAAAACATATTTAGTATGTTCTGACAAAATACATCTGATACAGTTTTTATTAATACTCTGTATTCATTTATGCTTTTTCTTCATAATGTTTGTAACTAATCAGGTCAGTATCTTATAGTGATACTGACCTGATTTCTTAAGCGTCTTATAATAAATCTCTATAGGTTCACTTTAAGTTCCCAGTGTGTGCCAGGCTGATTTATAAAAAACTTTCCATGTCTATCAATCATGTTTTTCTTTAAGGGTTGGACTTACTGCCGCATGTCTTGCCATCATCCTGAAGCAGTTGTCCTTCAGGACAGATACAGTGGTAAGATCCAGGGGTGTTTACACACTGGTAGTCACAGCCGTGCTTCACCGTGTTGCACATGTCCATGTCTAAAAAAGTACAAATTCATTAACTATTACTCAACAAAAGATGCTTAAAGAGACAAAACACATGCAGCATGTCATGCTGTGATAAATGATGAGACATTGACAATGAAATTCAAAGGTTATTGCAAATTAAGAAGATTTCTAAGCAATACAAATTTCTAAATTCAAAAATATTTCAACTAATAGTTATTGCAACACCAAATTGATCAAACCAAAGGACAATGTAATTGTTGTACTTTTCTTTCTCCCAGTAATCTTTGACTTGACAACAAACCCGCTGCTTTTGTTGCCCAGTCATTATTAAATTAGACATATTTCATAATAAAACATTGTTTTTCTACCAGTATTTTTTCACAAAGTTGTTTTTATTGCACAAAAGCAAAGCAATGCGTTTCCTGCTAGATGATCCTCCTGAGACACATTTCTCCCTCATCTTTTCTGGAAAAGGGCTGCCTCTTTCTCAGTCAGCACTTAATCATCTTATGTTTGGACTTTTATAACCTTACCTTATAAATATTTTTGATTGAATTAAAACCTGGACGTCTGGCAGGTGGAAGAATAACAACAACGCTTGCTGGCAGATTTTTCAGACAGGTGGGAGTTGTGCATAAATGATGTGTGACAACTCAACCTAATCTGGTGTGTTGGACGATGCCTAAACTGAATAATATATTGTATTACTATATTTCCTTGAATCAAAATGTCCTACTTTGATGTAAAGGTTTATAAGCTAACAAATACTGGATGTCCAATTCATCCAGTATTTTGAAGTCACTTCTGGCCATTAAAAGATCACAACAATGACACAAAATGTAATTTTAAGATCAGAGGTTAATAATGAATTTTTACATTCAGTTATATTGCATTTTGCTGACGAGTCTCTTTGTTGATCAACTGTACACACATTAAACAGAGAAGAGGTTTAATCAAGTTTTGAATGTCAATTTTCAGGCAATTAAGAAGATTTGACTTACAAACTGTAAATCAGTGCTGCTTAAAAGAGCAAAATATAAAATTATTCTACAAATGAGCTGGGAAAGATAAAGGCAGAGAAACAGTAGTGATGAATGGATTACATTTAATCAGCAACTGGCCTGCAGAGAAAGCAAATGAAAAAAAAACAAAAAAAAAAACAAACGGATTCACTGACTTGTGCAAGTCCTCTTGTCCCTGTTGAGTTTGAATCCTTTGTTACAATCACAGGTGAAGACGCCCGGGGTGCTGATGCAGATCTGTTCACAGTCATGTTTCCCCTCAGCACAGAGGTCAATGGCTAAAGCAACACAGACATGCACATAGATGTTTTTCCAAGTCAGAGTTAAAGTGCAACACATTATGAGTTTCTTTGTCAGCAAAACCAAGGACATGGTGACGGCCTTCTCAACAGAGTTCTGACTGCAGAACCATCTGTTGAGATTCTCCTAAAATACAAAATATATTGTGGCAATACAGCCTTATGATGTATATAATTTATTTCCTCTTTTGTTTAACTTTATTTATTTAACTAGAGCAGTGCCCATACGCAGCTAAATTTTATGTAGTCTTAAAGCAGGATCTCAAAACGTAGCACACATTCAGATTTACCCAACAAAGTATCTTGAAACACTCATAACAGTTTCATATTCAAAAGGTGACACGAATCAAATACAGGCTGATTTCATCTATCTAAAGCTAATAGGCATAAATATTGCATATTTAATAAAAAACCTGAGCAGCTCTTCTCATCCTCATTGAGCCTGTATCCCTTTTTGCAGTCGCAGGTGAAGATGCCCGGGCCCATGTTCACACAGACGTGGTCACAGTCATGTTTTCCCTCAGCACAAAGGTCAATGGCTAAAATTAGACACAATAATTAGTTTCAAGCTGTTAATTGGTACATTTTTATAAACAAATACATATAACTCTGTTGCCTATTTTAAAAAAATAGCTTTGTATAATTAAATATAGCAAGAAGCATTAAGACCAACAGTATTAATAAGATTTAACAGAAAAAGCAAATGAAGAGGATAAAGGGGAGGATAGGTATTTTTAGTCTTTTTCTTGTTTAGTGAATGGTAAAGTATCTATTAAACAAGAAAGAATAGACCTGTAGTTAGTGATGTAAAGAGTTTTCTACCAAGATGGTGAAATTAATCTTATGATTACATTTAGAAAAACGTGGTTTGACTATTAAATGGAAATATGGAAAAGTTCATGTTCAATAAAACCCTCTTTTAGTTTTTGTAGTCTGTTGTCTGGGATGTTGCCAATCATTCTAACCACTAAAATGATTGACAAACTTGTATCAAAGCTTGGTCTACTGATCATATCTATGCTTTTATCACATTGCCCATTTTTCTGTTCTAGTAAAAATGCTAAGAACAATTATATGGTTTAATGACTAGTAACATTTTGGTTGGTATTTTTTTCAGACATTGACAGTTTTATGTTTTAGATCATCTATTTTGTGCATTTTTTAAATGTTAGATTGAGCAACATACTGGATAGTATACTTATATCTAAATATTTAATCTGATGTGTGTAGGTGATAGGAGGATCGAGGATGTAAGGCCAATTAGATCCAACATATTTAAAGACTAGTGAGATAGCTGATTTTGACCAATTTAACAAACATGAAATACTGAACCTTGCAACAACAGTATATATTTTATATTTTACAAAAAAATTAAAGAAAAATAATTAACTCCAACTTTGCTGTTAGATAGGTATAATACCCATTATCCTTGGATTTGTGTAAATATGAACATATGGCTATGTGTGTATTTTTGTGGGGGCCCGACTAACGTGTGCAGGTCTTCTTGTCCCCGTTGAGTCTGTATCCCTCGTTGCAGTCGCAGGTGAAGATGCCGGGCCCCGAGTAGACACAGACTTGTTCACAGCCATGTTTTCCCTCAGCGCACAGGTCAATGGCTAAATTACACACATTAATTTAGTTAAATTCCCAATCTATATTTCCATAAAGTTTCTGACAAAGTCATCAGACATTTCTTACTCAAAACATGACATTTGTATTTGTACAGTTTCTCTTTTCTTCTGAAGAAGCATCATGATAACAAGACATAAGACAAGACAAGAAAGAAAGAGGATAATTTATCCACGGTTGCTATATGAAGGTCAGGACTTGATATATGTAAAATCCAATAATGAACCAGGAAAGAAAAAAAAACATAAAACTAATTAGAGCAATAAAATGTCAAAGAAGAAAAGCAAATAAAAACGCTTGTTGAATGTTTTTTTTGTTAGTTTTCAAGCAAATGACAGCAGGAAAAACTAGACTATAAAGTTAGTAAAGTGAAGCATTTTTAATCGAGGACTATTTTGAAGATTGTAACATTAACTTAAAGCTTACTTTTAAAATGTCTCATACAATTTTTGTCGTTTTTAGCACAATGATTCATGTTATACCAAAGCCAGTGGACCCGAATCCTTATCCTCAGGATCAACTGTCTGATATGTTCTGGATATGGCTGGTTTTTTTTTTGTTGTTGTTGTTGTTGTTGTTTTAAAGAATAGGTCATAAATACATTTCTGCAGTGCTTGATGGCATGCTAAGATGGTCATGTAAATATTTGAGAAAGCACTTATTAAAAACATGCAGGGCAGTGGGTCCCAAGGACCAGGGCTTGGGACAACTGATTTTGTTATTTAGGCAGATAGTATAACAAATTGCATAGTGAAAAATGTAGAATTTTTAGTACTATAAATCCAACTAATTTCTCACACTATAAACTAACATTACTGAAAATTACTTAATAGTATTAAATGATACTTGAAAAGTTGTGTTTTCAACTTCAAAATAAGTATCACATCATCTGCATAAAGTATTACTTTTGTTGAGATTAGTAAATTAGTTAAATCATTATGATTACTATTAGGTGTTGAGATGCTTTACCAAGGCCGAGAAAGAGTCACACGCTGTTAGACAAAGGGCCCATAGTAAAGAGTTACATTTTTGATTCTGTTAGACACCAAGGTCCATTTCTCACGAGAAACAGAAACTTATCAGGCCACAGAGGCATGGTATGATTTCAGGGAGTGTCTTCCGTCCATATAATCAGCTGCCCTCCTCTTTTTCCTCAGACGCTGCACAGACTTTTTTAGAAACTCTTCTCGGATGTAATGGTAAAGCGTCTCCTTTCAGCGCTGAAAGTTAATAAAATAAGTAAAGTCTGAATGATTTTCTTGGCTGATTTTATGCTCCGAGTGTCAATACAAATTATGATTCATCGATTGAGATTCCCAATCTCAACACTTTGTATTTACTTGCACTGTCATTTAGACAGTGTTAATTGTACCTGCACAGAATTTTATAAGGTAAAGTTTAGTCATCTCATTTGATTAGCAGTAAGTAAGTAAGTAAGTAATATATAGTGATATTGATGTAACCTTTTATACAAATACTAAGTGATTTTTGAGTTTTAGAAAAAAAAGAGAGTTTCGCAAAGAGAATGTTCAAATAAATGTTTAAACAAATACATAAATATGATAATAAATTACATTTTTAGTCCATATGCACCACAAACGTATGGATTAAAAACAGAGACATGATGTGTGCTAACCATCCTAACAAACCTTTTCATTTTTGCACAAAAATCTTGGAAGCAGCAAAAAATATTTTATACTTTCCTAAGAAATAATCGAAAGAGGAAAGAAACTGTCATTTTTGTAAGACATATTCAACAGAAGGAATGACGCATAGATCTCTCTATGTAGATATGTCTGTACATGTGTGTATTTCTGTGATGGCCTGACTAACGTGAGCAGGTCTTCTCGTCCACGTTGAGTCTGTATCCCTCGTTGCAGTCGCAGGTGAAGACGCCCGGTCCCATGTAGACACAGACTTGTTCACAGCCATGTTTTCCCTCAGCGCACAGGTCAATGGCTAAATTGCACACATTTATTGAGTTAAACTTGTTAATCATTAAGCATTCCTTAAACATTTTCAAACTACTTGGAAATGTTTCCACAGTTCCAACAAGTAAAAAGAATGTTTCCCATGTGGGCATTTTTAACTTTCAAATAATCCCTGTATTTAAGTAAAAGTTAGATTAGTAGATTTAGTAAGCAACCATTTGGAAGACCTCAAAAGCTCTCAGTCCTTGGAAAAGTATTCCCACAAATTATCCCAATATCATGGATTGTAATATTTTGGAAGTATTTAATTAATAAATAATTCTGGATCACTTCTTCGAGAAAATGCAAAAATTGTGTTTCTAAATAAATATTAGCTGGAACAATAAATGTTGTCAGATACTAAATGTTACGTCTAAAAGCTTTCCTGATCAAAGTTTCAGCCATTAGAGTCAAATATGAAGTCTGTGTAGTAGCCTGAGAGTAGACTTTAAATTTTACTTCAGGACAATAAGGGCAGAAGCATCTTCAACCTTATCAGATTTAAATAATGTAGGTAATTGTCAGATTTGTGTAATTCTACAAATGTCTGTATAAGTATGTATTTTTGTGAGAAACACAAAACTGACTAACGTGAGCAGGTCTTCTCATCCCCGTTGAGTCTGTATCCCTCGTTGCAGTCGCAGGAGAAGACGCCCGGTCCCATGTAGACACAGGCTTGTTGACAGTCATCTTTTTCCTCAGCGCACAGGTCAATGGCTAAATTATACACAATAATTGAGTTATCTTGTTGGTTTTAAAACACAACCAAAATGAAATAAATATAACTGTCTTGCACCTTTTAAAGTAAAAAATATAAAGTCAAAACTCTAATCGGTTTAGTCAGCAAGACACATCTCCAATTTTGCCTATAAAATGAGGGGAGGTTGACTTTTTTTACACAGAGTTTTTCCAATTTAATTGATTGTTTTCATAAATAATAACAGTATGAAATGTATTAGCTGGGTTGATTGTATTGTATAGGTTAAAATCTGTGGCTCGACTAACGTGTGCAGGTCTTCTTGTCCCCATTGAGTCTGTATCCCTTGTTGCAGTCGCAGGTGAAGACGCCGGGCCCCGAGTAGACACAGACTTGTTGACAGTCATGTTTTTCCTCAGCGCACAAGTCAATGGCTAAATAACAAACATTCAGTCAATTAAAATTGTTTTTCTGCAGCTTTCTTATCAGCCTTCACAAATGATTTTTATGAAATAATTTATAAATTACTTGCTGAATCTAATAAGTAATATGTGGTATATATAAGCTGTTTTCTCATTTGGCAGTTTAATAATTCATGTTTTCAAACTGAAGCAAAAAAATGTCCATCTTATTTGCAAGACAGGTCATTTACATAAGCTTGCATCAAGATATAGATCCCAGTGTCTAATTTTTGTTGAGTTGATAACAGTATAAGATTGACTATTTCATTACTACTTAATCCCTTAAATAAAGCTTATCTCACCAGGCGTCATAGGATTTTCTATACTTAAATAAGATATTTGCATTTTTCCTTAAAAAATAAATGTTTACAACTGCATGTGACATGTTTTCAGATAAAATAAGTGTGATGTCTTTAAACTCTCTTGCAGAACATTCCAACAATTACAGTGACGTGTGGAAGCTGTTCAGTGGTTATAGTTTTGGTTTCAAAATTAGAAGTGGGCAAAAAGTTTAACTTTGTTGTTGAGTCCTTTATCCCTAGATATGTCTGTCTGTAAA